AAGCTCTCATGTAAGAGAGAGGGAGGGAGAGAAAGGGAGAGAGAGAGAGGGTGGGGAAGCAGAGCTACAAACAGAGCGTGCTCATGTGCTGTATAGTAGACAGCTGAGACCGAGGAGGAGAACTGCTGTATTCGCCTGCCACCTAGTGGCGAACTTAATCAAGTGTTTGATTTGTACGTGTAATTATTTTTGAAAGCTGTTTGTACTAACACACGTCTAATAACGCAAAAAAGCAACTAATTGAAGACTAGATTTTGAAGTACTGTTACATTAAATGAAACTTTTAATTTATAGACTAGTTTTCAACTTCAATATTTTTGTGGGTCAACTACATATGAAAGCACATACTGTCTTGAACATTTTTCTTGGCTAGTGCAAATAATCACATGACCATATCTGAAGCATGTAAAAGCAAATACAGATAATAGTTCAATGCCCTCCGTATTATTATGGCTGCCATTATGGTTTCATGCTTGAAATGCATGTTAAAAAATAAATATATAAATAAATACTATTACATTAAAAGAAGCCAAGTCAAAGGAAATAAGCATTTATTCTTGGATTATCATTCTCTTTTCACCACAATTGCCATCAAACGATTTTGAATTTGTAGTTTCCCAAAGGTTACAATTGTGACCAGAAATAAAACACATATGTTCAATAACTTCTTTAAAGAAGGCATGCTATTGTTTCATGTAGCCGAGGAGTAGAATAATGGGATTACATAAATTATTTAGTTTTCTGAATAGACAATAATTCCTTTCACATCTATGCATTTAAATAGTATGATATCTGCATGTGCTCAAACTTTTAATTCTTTCTCCCCAACTGAAGACCATACAACATTAACACATCTTGCAAATTTATATCATTCACTTATATATAAACAGGCCAACTCAATTCAAATCAAAATCAAATCAATAATTCAGAAGATGGTGCAGGAAATTAGATGTACTGTACATCTAAGTATTTCCAGTCACTGGTTACGTCATTCTAGTGAGCTGATTTGGCTGTCCAAATATTCTAGTGATAACAACATTTTCTTTTTTTTAAATCCTCACTCAAACAAACAGCACTCCATAAGAGTGTTGAGCCTGCCATTGCTTTAACAGCTTTAGGTCACATGGTCTTAGAGAAACCATTCTAATACTTGTTGTAATCTTTGTTGAATTTATTATCCCAGTCTTCAAGCAGAAAAAAAACTGGATGAATATTCTGAATGACACCAGTCCACAATCTGACATGTGATGCAGCCTGGAACTAAATCACACCATGTTGGTTTGTCTGGCCAGAGGTGTTTGGGTTCCTTGTCACCATGGGTGTAAATTTCATCGAACAGTTCGGGGGGACAATAAACATATTGAGAGTAATTTTTGAAGGGGACACAAAGATGTTTTGCCTTAAGACAAAATCGCCTTAATATGGGGACTTTTTGTACTTTTTATCTCACATCTTTCACATAGTATTTTAGGTTTCATCTGAGACAGAGGACATCTCTTACTTAGATATTCAAATGCAGCAAGCCTGATATCCAGATATTCAACTGCAGCAGCACTGATCTGCCACTTAACATCATATTGAGCAAAACCCAACACAATGATAAATCTACAATATTAGCCTAATATCAGTTCACACATAGGCTTATTGCCGTGTTAGTTGTGGGAGACTTACTATGCAACAAGCTACCAAACAAGCTAGGTAACACTATAATCACTAACATAGTGGACTCATGGAAAAATACATTGGCTATCATAATTTTTTTGTAACTACTAATTTATTCATGACTCGGCATCATCTGTATTAAAGAGAAAAGAATCACTTCATCCGATGTTTAAAGTGAATAAAATAGCCTTGACAGCCGACTTACTGGAGCTCCACAACTGTTCTCTCTCACCGGACTCGTGTGAGATATAGGAGGAAAGCAGGTACTGGAACAAAGCAGTGTGAAGTAAGGGAGGGGGACTCAAAATTATTATTATTTTTTATTTTTTTGTTTATACTGTTTTACTACTCTAAATATCATTATATTATTTACAATACACAGCGTGGCTTTTAATGATATTTTTAGGGGTAAAAGAAGCCAAGTCAAAGGAAATAAGCATTTATTCTTGGATTATCATTCTCTTTTCACCACAATTGCCATCAAACGATTTTGAATTTGTAGTTTCCCAAAGGTTACAATTGTGACCAGAAATAAAACACATATGTTCAATAACTTCTTTAAAGAAGGCATGCTATTGTTTCATGTAGCCGAGGAGTAGAATAATGGGATTACATAAATTATTTAGTTTTCTGAATAGACAATAATTCCTTTCACATCTATGCATTTAAATAGTATGATATCTGCATGTGCTCAAACTTTTAATTCTTTCTCCCCAACTGAAGACCATACAACATTAACACATCTTGCAAATTTATATCATTCACTTATATATAAACAGGCCAACTCAATTCAAATCAAAATCAAATCAATAATTCAGAAGATGGTGCAGGAAATTAGATGTACTGTACATCTAAGTATTTCCAGTCACTGGTTACGTCATTCTAGTGAGCTGATTTGGCTGTCCAAATATTCTAGTGATAACAACATTTTCTTTTTTTTAAATCCTCACTCAAACAAACAGCACTCCATAAGAGTGTTGAGCCTGCCATTGCTTTAACAGCTTTAGGTCACATGGTCTTAGAGAAACCATTCTAATACTTGTTGTAATCTTTGTTGAATTTATTATCCCAGTCTTCAAGCAGAAAAAAAACTGGATGAATATTCTGAATGACACCAGTCCACAATCTGACATGTGATGCAGCCTGGAACTAAATCACACCATGTTGGTTTGTCTGGCCAGAGGTGTTTGGGTTCCTTGTCACCATGGGTGTAAATTTCATCGAACAGTTCGGGGGGACAATAAACATATTGAGAGTAATTTTTGAAGGGGACACAAAGATGTTTTGCCTTAAGACAAAATCGCCTTAATATGGGGACTTTTTGTACTTTTTATCTCACATCTTTCACATAGTATTTTAGGTTTCATCTGAGACAGAGGACATCTCTTACTTAGATATTCAAATGCAGCAAGCCTGATATCCAGATATTCAACTGCAGCAGCACTGATCTGCCACTTAACATCATATTGAGCAAAACCCAACACAATGATAAATCTACAATATTAGCCTAATATCAGTTCACACATAGGCTTATTGCCGTGTTAGTTGTGGGAGACTTACTATGCAACAAGCTACCAAACAAGCTAGGTAACACTATAATCACTAACATAGTGGACTCATGGAAAAATACATTGGCTATCATAATTTTTTTGTAACTACTAATTTATTCATGACTCGGCATCATCTGTATTAAAGAGAAAAGAATCACTTCATCCGATGTTTAAAGTGAATAAAATAGCCTTGACAGCCGACTTACTGGAGCTCCACAACTGTTCTCTCTCACCGGACTCGTGTGAGATATAGGAGGAAAGCAGGTACTGGAACAAAGCAGTGTGAAGTAAGGGAGGGGGACTCAAAATTATTATTATTTTTTATTTTTTTGTTTATACTGTTTTACTACTCTATTTGGGGGGGGGGGGGGGGGGGTACAACCCTCAGATGGGGTAGCTTCTGACCCCCCCACAATTTACGCATATGCTTGCCACTGCCACCTTTGGCTTGCTTAGTTGGGGACATTAATATTCAGCAATATTATTGAATTGACTGAAGAGACAGAATTGGATGAGAACTGGACTGAGCTTTTTTCAGAATTCTTTTAAAATAAAAACATTAAAATAACTGTATTTATTTGAAATAGAAATCTAACATTATAAATTGTAATTTTATTGCATCCTTGCTAAATAAAAGTATTAAAATCTTTCAACAAAAAAAAATCTTACTGTCCAAACCTTTGAACTTTGGACAGTAAAATTATGCAACACAGGATTGCTCACTGTTGAGTAGAGGGGAAACTGCTGCTCTCTCCTCTCTCACACTCTCTATACATATACTGTATATCGTACCCACTGTATATATATATATATATATATATATATTATATATATAATCTTTCCTCAAATTCAAAAGAGTGCTAGAACAGAAAACACAACAAGTCTACCAACTACCAACCCAAAGTCTAGCAAAAAAAGTTTAAACTTTGACATACTTACAAATAGGAATTTCAAAATAATATATGCATATCCAGAAAGCATGCAGGAACATGGCTAAAATCCATGTACATAGAAAAAAATTATAAAACACTGGTACAGTGCTTCCCATTCCTATTTAATGACAACATTTTGACCTAGAAAGGGCCATCAGGTCAAACGTGAAGCGTAACGAAGACCATTCTGGGTTGAAATGTTTGTGGAAAAAAATCCTTAAGCAAGCAGGAGCTGTTTGTAAGCCTAAATCAGGACACAAATTAGGATTTCCTTACCTCAATCTCTCAGATGATTTATTGCCCAAAACACAGATTAGGCTGACTGAGAGTCAGAGGATTACTGGTCTAAATTTAAAGAGTAAGCAATGTCAGCCGTCTGCTTTAACACCTGAAAGAAAATTCATAAACATGTCCTACTTTAATTCGAAATATTGACTGATAACAGTCAAATTCAAATTGTGATAATTAAACATATACATGATGTAAATATAAAATCAGTTGTTTTTTTTAATTCATAGAAATGTCCATCACTCATGTCATGAAGTCTGTCCACTGTACAAGAATTTCTGTTAATGTTTACATATCTGCATCTACATTTTCCTTAGGCTTACATTATCCAGTGTAAACACGAGTCTTCCAATACTGATTGAATGCAATTTCGACAGCAGGTTTTACATTTATTCGTGTGTGTTTTCTGAATGGATGGACCTGGAGTGATGTAAAGGCTCGGCGTTGTTGAGTAATAAAAGTGTAACCTTCAGTCACGTGCAGAATGTGTCGACCTTCCTCTCAACCAAACTACAGAATTACGTCAGTTTTGACTACACCGAGGATTGGTCGTGCAAAGGCAGGCGTGTAAGAGCAGGAGCTGCGATTGGTGGAATGAGACAGCCTCGCTCTGCAGGTCTCTCAGCGTCAGCGTGGACATTGAGTGAAGATGGCGACCTGGTGTGTGCGTGCGCTCAGACAGAGCTCTTCTATCATAGCGTCCCCTTCACTTGTAAGGTAGGTTTTCGTAGCACTGTTATTGTGTGTAGTTGATGTCCGTGCTTGGGTAAATATTTAGCTTTTACAAAAATGAATGATCTTTCTGTTGCGTGAGCTGTTCATTAATGAATGATTGATGCTGAAGGACCCTCAGTGTTATGCCTTCACGTGACAGTGTTTAGACAGCATTGTCTTTTTGTCCTGTCTGATACTTTGCAGATTAGTTACATGTGATTACAGTTGCTTCTCAGTGAAATTTCTGTTGTCTTTCAGCTACCATACCATTGCATATTACATACAGCACGTTTTTCCATTGAGTTCAGGATTTTGGTTTCAATCTCCTTAAGCCTTTGAAAATAGTTTCCCCGAGTTGGCAAGGCAATGAAAGACTTGTTTCCAACACGTGCTAGTGTTAAAACTAAAAGTTACTGAAGTGTATACTAGTTGTACTGCCACCGTTTCACTTCATGATTAGTGTAGACCAGTGGTTCTCAAACCTGTCCTGGAGTACCCCCTGCCCTGCACATTTTGTATGTCTCCCTCATCTATCACACCTGATTCAACTCATCAGCTCATTACTGGAGCCTGCAAGACCTGAAGTGGGTGTGTCAGATATAGGGAGACATACAAAACGTGCAGTGCTGGGGGTACTTCATGGAGAGCTTTGAGAACCCCTGGTGTAAACGATCTCTTAACCCAGGGCTGTCCAAACTCGGTCCTGGAGGGCTGGTGTCCTGCAGAGTTTAGCTCCAACCCTAATTAAACACACCTGAACCAGCTAATCAAGCTGAGGCAAGTTGGAGCTAAACTCTGCAGGACACCGGCCCTCCAGGACCGAGTTTGGACAGCCCTGTCTTAACCAGTTGCAGACCTAGTTTGATATGTCAAGGTATCTAGAATCCCATTCCATTTAAATATATCCTACAATAAAATTAACCAGTTTAAGGTTAAATTCTTTACATGCTCAAAAGTAAAACTTACATCACCCATTCAGGTTTGACTGTTACCCATAAAGAAGCAGTTATTTTAAATTAACTCGTTTATTATAGAACTTTTTTTTTTTTTAACTGGGCTTTACATACAATGATTGTTCATAACGACAATGTCTGTTAAAGTCAGCATGAAATGAAAATTCACTAATGATATTACTGTTACAATTTTTTTAAATGCATATCATAGATCTTGTCAAGCTTGATTCATCACTCGTTTAATTTATTATTATTATTATTATTATTTTATTATTTTTAATATAACTGGATCTTCTGATGAAAATGACAGACTTATCCATTTTTTGAGTGCCTGCCACACTCAATCATCTGTTACATTTGGAATGCACGTCACAGTACGGAAGGAATAGTTTACTTCCATTTCATCACAACTTCAAGTTTCAAAGAGGATAAAAGACACACACACAAAAAAGCCCATAGATGAGCGAAGATTCAGACTGTGTACTTCAGTTGGGTCTTTAGCCATCCGAGCAAGTGCCATTTAGATCAGTAATAATGGTAAAGAATGATATTCTACTAGTATTATGTAAACCTGCTTTAAAAAAAAAATTTTTTTAATAATTTTTGGGAGAATTCTTCCTTTTAAACCTGTTTGACAGCAGCAAACAACTCTTACCATAGTGATTGCATAATCACAATGTATATAACCTGTAACACAAGGGATCTGTTGGTGAATATTCTCATGTTTTAACTTCTCTCAGGGCGACTCCACGCCTCCTTTGCACAGCAGCCCAACAGAAAAGCTCAGGGCCTAGGACCGAAGAAGAGAATGGGACTCAGAACCCAGAGCCCAGTGCAGCTGAGAAAGCCTTCATAGAAGAAAAGACACAACTGGAAGAACAGCTGAAAGATGTTACGGTATTGCTGTATTCGTAGTCTTTGCATCTGTTGTATAGAAGTTCTAGATGAAATCTGACAATAACAGTTTTTCTTGCTATTCATAACCGTATAATTTCCACTGCACAGCCTGACCTTCAATTGCCCTTGAAGTTCACTGAGAACATGTTTTTGATCCATTTTTATTCATATTTGTTTAAACAAATAGCTTTATTTAAGAAGTGCAGTCAGCAGGGTCATGTGTCAGATTAGTGATGTTCAGAGGATTTCCTTGCCTCTAAATCAGCTGTAAAGTGTACCAGACTTACTCAGGATGTGACTGAGTCTCTACACCAGCCTAGTCATTTCTTTACATGTGAAGCATTCAGATTCATCATTACAGTTAGTCCAACATATTGTCATTATTCCTTGTAATATTCCTATACAACATAAATCTGCTGAGTTTCTAGAATATTAAAACAAATTATTGCAGGTATTTAAGTAAAAATCATTGCAAATAAGTGTTTCTTTTATCTTTGTTGAAGGGAGCAGTTTAAAAAGAAATTGGATTTGAAAAATCAGCATGCTGTTTGTAGTTCATCGTCTGATCTTTTTGTTAATTGTCTTTTGCTGAAGGATAAATACAAGCGGGCGCTAGCAGACACTGAGAACCTTAGGCAAAGGAGTCAAAAGATGATTAATGATGCTAAGCTTTATGGTAAGCTATTATAGTTATTTTATAAGCAGCTTTTATGAACCGACATTTCTGGATCTGGTCAATTTGTGAAATGTTTTAACTCCCATCTCTTTTCTCAGGAATCCAGGGCTTCTGTAAAGATCTCTTGGAGGTGGCTGACATCTTGGAGAAGGCAACAGAAAGCGTACCAAAAACTGAAATATCTACTGCAAATCCACACCTGAAAAATCTTTATGACGGCCTTGTTATGACTGAGGTGCAGATCCAAAAGGTCTTCCAAAAACACGGTCTTGATAAGCTTAACCCTGATGGTCAGAAATTTGACCCTTATGAGCATGAGGCTGTCTTTCATGCACCTGTGGAGGGCAAGGAGGCAGGTACCATAGCTGTAGTTACTAAAGTAGGCTACAAGCTGCACGGTCGTACTCTACGGCCAGCTCTGGTGGGTGTAGTCAAAGCCCCCTAACTGGTCTTACAAACTATGATGGGTTATTGCCTGGTCAACTGATCGGTTTCTGTAAGTTAGCTGGTCTTAGGCTCCAGTTTTTTTGTTTTTGTTAAATGTGCCTCTGAGAGGTGAAATCCAATATATTGACAACTGAGGGACAAAGCCAGACTAATCTTTGTGATTAATAATGATTCAGTAAAAAAATAGTTATTGGGTATAATATAAGAGTTGAGTGTGTATGAGGTAGAAGATTAACAGAATCTTGGATGCATCAGTATTCTCTGGAGGAT